TCAGGAGTATGCAAATTAACCCAATAAAGATGGCGGGTTAATTTGCATATGCAGGCGCCGAGGGCGGGGCAGGATGCAGGCATTCCTCACTGCCCCAGCTACTCTGGACCTCTGGACAGCGTGGGAAGGCGGAAAGGCAGCTCCAGACCCTAGTGAAGGTGGTGCTGGCAGCCAGGGAAAGGAAGGATCATTCTTGCATGAATCTTTGTGCACTGGGCCTCTAGTATTTTAAATAAAAAGAAACATCAATGATGAGAAGATCATTGATCGGCTGTCTCCTGCACGCCCCCTACTGGGGATGGAGCCTGAAACCCGGGCCTGTGCCCTGACCGGGAATCAAACCGTGACCTTCAGGCCGCCCGGCTTCCCCCAGTGCAGACGGAAAGGGGTCCCTCCTGGATCCAGTGCGATCACTCCAGAAGCCAGGCTTCCTGGCTGCCCCAAGCTGAGCCCCATGCCGATGCTTGGGCCAGGAACACATTTACCAAATTAAAAGCTCACAGTTCGTGAGAAGAGAAGGTCCAGCTCACTGGCAGTTCTCAATCATTTCTCTTCGGGATTTGGGGGAAGGATCCCTGTGACCATCCCTGATTCCCCGCCTGCCACGGCGGGGGAGGAGGGGTCCGGCTCCAGGATCCACATGGGGGCTTTCCAGGGAGTCAGCCTGGAATCACTGTCCGTAGGGTGTGGCTCCCTGGTTCTCTCCCAAACTCCCCTGGCACGCCTATCCTCCTGCTCTCTCGCCCCGCTGGGGTTTTGTTTCTAACCTCAGGATACCTTTCTACGTCTTGGTTTCCTCGTCTGTACCAGCTGGACAGCAGGAGGCGGAGGGGGGGCTGGAGCAGTTGGGAAAGCAGGAAGGACGCTAAGAATAGGCTCCAGGAGCCTCTGCGGTCCCTGGATGGAATCTCACCCAACCACTGATACTTCAGTCTGCCCGAGTGAAAAGCAAGGCACCACGTCTCAGAGTACTGAGGTTAGGCTCGGCCCGTGTGGCTCAGTGGCTGAGCATGGACCTAGGAATCAGGAGGTCAGGGTTCGATTCTGATCAAGGGCACAGGCCCGGGTTGCTGGTTCCATCCCCAGTGTGGGGTGTGCGGGAGGCAGCCGGTCCATAGTTCCCTCTCATCATGGATGTTTCTCTCTCTCTCCTCCCTTCCTCTCTGAAATCCATAAAAACATATTTTAAAAATAAGTAAACACGGCCAAATCATACACATTTGTGTTTTTTATTTTTTAATATGTTTTTATTGGTGTCAGAGAGGTAGAGGAAGGGAGAGGGAGAGAGATAAAAACATCTATGATGAGAGAGACTCATCAGTTGGCTGCTTCCCAAACGCCCCCTACTGGGGATCGAGCCCGAAATGTGGGCCTGTGCCCTTGATGGGAATCAAACCCTGACCTCCTGGTTCTTGGGTTGAAGCTCAACCAACTGAGCCACACTGGCTGGACCGAATTGTACACTTTTAAATGATGAATGGCTCATTTCATGTTACGTAAATTGTACTTCAACAAAAAAATGTTCTTCCCCTAACTGGTGTGGCTCAGTGGATAGAGCATCGGCCTGCAGACTGAAGGGTCCCAGGTTCGATTCCGGTCAAGGGCATGTACCTTGGTTGTGGGCACATTCCCAGTAGGGAGTGTGCAGGAGGCAGCTGATCGATGATTCTCTCTCATTGATGTTTCTAGCTCTCTATCCCTCTCCCTTCCTCTCTGTAAAAAATCAATAAAATATATTTTTAAAGGAATCTGGATACTGTGCTGTGAGAAGGAGGATGAACCGGAAAGAGGTTGACATGGGGGAGGGGGGAGAGTCCTAGCCCCTCCAGGAGACCCTCGTGGCCAGAGAATTTCTGCTTCTGGTTGCCCAGCTCTCCCCTCCCCTTCGCCCCCCCCCCCTCATTGTGAGCCAGGGACCATTCCTCTGTCAGGCCCACTGAGTCACGTCTCTACTTGGGGCAGTGCTCCCGCTGCCTGCTTCTCGGGAACACGGCGTCCCTCCTCCTGTGACTTGCAGCCCCAGGAACATTATCTGTGCCGCGGAGCATGCGGAATGCGGTGCCAGGGATGAGGGGACGGCCATCAATTCTGAGTGCGGCTATTGTTAGCGCATGATGTCACCGCTCCGCTCGCCAGCTTGTCACAGACGTCTGCGTAGCCGCCTCCTGCCACAGGGACCGTCCTGTCCCGCAGCACCGGGCTGGGCGCATTGCCTGCTCTCTGTGCGGGCGGCAGAGCTGTGGGTGCACATTGAAAAGAAGACTGGTCCTGGCCGGTGTGGTTCAGTGGATAGAGCATCAGCCTGTGGCCTGAAGGGTCCCGGGTTCAATTCTGGCCAAGGGCATAAGCCTGGGTTGTGGGCTCCAGTTGGGGGCGTGCAGGAGGCAACCAATCAATGACTCTCTCTCATCATTGATGTTCTCTCTCTCTCTCTCTCTCTCTCTTTCTCTCTCCCTTCCTCTCTGAAATCAATGCAAATATATTTTAAAAATATATATTGGACCCAGTTTGTGTGGCTCAGTGGTTAGGCATCAACCTATGAGCAAGGAGGTCAGGGTTCAATTCCAGATCAGGGCACAGGCCCGGGTTGTGGGCTCCATCCCCAGTGGGGGTTGTGCAGGATGCAGTCGATCAGTGACTCTCATCATTGATATTTCTATCTCTCCCTCTCCTTTCCTCTCTGAAATCAATAAAATTATATTTTTAAAAAATCAGTCCTTTCCCTAATCGGTATGGCTCAGTGGATAGAGCGTTGGCCTGCAGACTCAAGAGTCCCAGGTTCAATTCCGGTCAAGGGCATGTACCTTGGCTGCGGGCACATCTCCAGTGGGGGGTGTGCAGGAGGCAGCTGATGGATCTTTCTCTCTCATCGATGTTTCTAACTCTCTATCCCTCTCCCTTCCTCTCTGTAAAAAAAGTCAATAAGATATGTAGTTTTTAAAAAATCAGTCCTTGACTTAAAAAAAAAGAAAAGAGAAGAATATTGGCTCTTGGAAGTAAACACTCTGTCCCAGTGAGACAATCAAACTCCCTATGGTTTCTAGGCGGGGGGCGGCCAGGAGCAGGCTGTCTGTAATTATCTAAATGTCAGCCCTGTCCTCCGCAGCCTCCTGGAGGTAGGCAGCCGTGTCCTATTTATCATAATGTTCCCTGCACCTTGTTCCGATTTTGTTCTCATTTACCTGGTGGGTCTCCCATAAAAGACTGTACGTTTCTCAAGGACAAAGTCTCTGCAGCCCTCTCTCCTAAGACCTGGGAGTGTGTGGGAGGGACCGCGTGCATCTGTGGACTCCAGGAATAGAGCAAGTTCTGCTGTTTGAAAAGGTAGAATTAGGAGTGAAAAGATTCGCCCTGGCTGGTGTGGCTCAGTGGATAGAGTATCGGTCTGGGGACTGAAGGGTCCCAGGTTCAATTCCTGTCAAGGGCACATGCCTGGGTTGTGGGCTCGATGCTCAGGAAGGGGCCTGCAAAAGGCAGCCGATCAATGGTTCTCTCCCTCCCTCTCTGCAATCAATAAAAATGTTCTCTCCCTCCCTCTCTCTCCCTTCCTCTCTGCAATCAATAAAAAAAAATTTTTTTTAAAAGAGTGAAAAAATTCTATTCCCGTTTTAGAATTATCTGGAAGATTTTCTCTGCCAACGCTGCTATTACATGGGTCATTACAACTTTAAATAATTATATTCGCCCGAGGGTCAGAACAGCAGAGTCTCTGTTTAGAATTACTCACTGCAGAACTTCACAAGGGATTTTTCCTTGGGCTAGCTCAGGTTTGAGCACCTAGACCTGTAGATGTGCGGTGACAAATTTGGGGTGAGCCTGGCTGGTGTGGCTCAATAGTTGAGCACCATCCCACGCACCAAGAGGTCACTGGTTCCATTCCAGGTCAGGGCACTTGTCCAGATGCAGGCTCTATCCCCAAAAGGGAGCATGCAGGAAGCAACCGATGGATTCTCTCTCATCATTAATGTTTCTCTCTCCCTCTCCCTTTCTCTCTACCTAAAAAATTAATACAAACATATATTTTTTAATTTGTGATGAATCTTCTGATTTTATCAAAAGCTTTAGAACAACAGGGCAAAATAACTTGGGGGGAGGGAGGGGGCAGGATTTAAACATCCATAATCACAGTTCCACCCAGATAGTTTTCCTTTTCTTCTTCTTCCTTTAGGAAGATGGTTTCTTTAAGGGATTTTTTTTAAATATATTTTTTTATTTTTACAGAGAGGAAGGGAGAGGGATAGAGAGTTAGAAACATCGATGAGAGAGAAACACCGATCAGCTGCCTCCTGCACACCCCTCACTGGAGATGTGCCCGCAACCAAGATACATGCCCTTGAACGGAATCGAACCCGGGACCCTTCAGTCCGCAGGCCAATACTCTATCCACTGAGCCAAACCTTTTAGGGCTAAGGGATTTTTTTTAAAGTAAAATGATCTTAAAATAAAGTGATTAGAGAGCTACTGTACTTTTTGGTGACTACATCAATGAATTCATATCTGAAATTAAAATAAGAAAATCTCCAAGAGGTTATTTCATATATTTGGCTCAGAGTTTTGTTTTTCTTTTATTTTTTAATATTTTTTTTATTGATTTCGGAGAGCAAAATATCCATGATGAGAGAGAATCATGGATCTGCTGCCTCCTGCACACCCCCTACTGGGGATGAAGCCCGCAACCCGGGTATGTGCCCTTGACTGGAATCGAACCCGGGACCCTTCAGTCCACAGGCTGACGTTTTATCCACTGAGCCACACTGGCTAGGGCTGAGTTTTGTTTTTAAACAAACAAAAACCCACCATCTACTGTTTCTCTCATTCTCCACCCCCTCCCCCACGACCCCACCACCCGCATTCAATGAAGCGGAGCCAGACTGTCCAGGTGCAGCTGTCATGGAAGCCGCCTGCAGACCATGCTTCTTGGGTTCCCACGCCTCTCCCAGGCTCACCCACCCGCACCCGATGCCACAGACGCGGACCAAAGGGGCGGCCTGGCAACTTACCAGGCAGCAGCAGGGCCAGCATCCCGGAGCTGCAGGAGCCTGGCGGCCTAGGGCCGCCCAGCTGGATCCCTGCCTGAGGGAGAGAGCGCAGGTCAGCAGGCACCCAGGAGCAGTGCCTTGAGAACCGGGACCCCGGGTCCCTCTCCCACCTCCTCCCCTTCTCCCTGATGGCCTGGCTTCCCTCTCTTCTTCACACTCACTTCTCGCAACAACCATGCTGTTGGGTTAACATTAAGATGAACCACTGACAGCCCAGCTGGTGTGGCTCAGTGGTTGAGTGTCAACCTATGAACCAAGAGGTCACGGTTCCATTCCCGGTAGGGGGCATGCAGGAGGCAGCCGATTGATTCATCAATGTCTCTTTCTCTCATTCTCCAACATCAATAAAAACATGTTTAAAAATACAAAACAAAACAAAACAAAAAACAGAAGAACCAGCCTGGCAGCATGGCTCAGGGGTTGAGCATCAACCTAGGAACCAGAAGGTCATGGTTCGATTCCCGGTCAGGGCACAGGCCCGGGCTGTGTGATGATCCCCAGTGCGGGGCCATGATTCTCTCTCATCTTTGATGTTTCTATCTCTCTCTCCCTCTCCCTTCCTCTCTCTGAAATCAATTTGATATATTTTTTATTATTATTATTTATTTATTTTTAAAGAAGAAGAACAACCAGTAACAACAGCCAAACAGAGCTCCCTGCCTGGGTGCGGTCAGAAAGCCTCCATCGGGCTAAATCCCTGACAGCCACTGGGGGACTCGCTGGCCACCAGGGAGAAGACAGACAGAGGGAACCTCTGCCTTAGCGGACGGTCCCCAAGTGTCGCTTACCGGCCTGGGGGTCGGCCTGGTCCCCTCCTCCTCCGAGGCTCCCTGGGGCTCCCCCAGCCCATCCATCTCCCAGGCCGGGCAGCCAGGGCTGCTGAACACCCTCCCCCAGAGAAGTGGGGGGGGGGGGGGCGGGAGGCAGAGTCGCCTGTGCAGGTTTGAGCTGGTTCTCCTTCCTCCAGATGTAATGGCAGGAAAAGCCGGTCTGGGATGAGGATTAGCCCAGATGACAGAATGCGTTTGCCGTGAGAATCACAAAAGCCAGCGGCAGATTCTGCTAACACACCAATCGGCTTTACCCCAGGCCCTGGCCCCCCATCTGCTCGGCCCCTTTAAACCCTCTGCAGACCCCCCTCCCGGCCGACCCCAGCCCCGGCCCCAAGCACCAAGCACCCAGGAACTGGCTTTCTGCCCAGCAAAAAGCCATTTCCAGCATTTTCCACAAGGAGGAGGGCACGTTACATAACCGGGGGTGGGGCCGGCCAGGGCAGCGAAAGCTGGATGTTCTTCCCAATGCGGGCTGCGGGCTGCTGGTGGCCTTGCTGTGCAGTGACCGGTGCCGCCCGCCTGCCCATCAGGCTGAGACCTGGTGGGGGAGAGGCTGCTGGCCACCGCCCAGGCCCAGTCCATCAGGCCTCAGAGCAACCCGGGCAGCTGGTTAGGAAGGGGACTCAGCACCCAACCCCTCTGGAATCAGCATCTGCATCTGCGGTGGGGGGTTCTGTTTTTTCTTTGTTTTCTTAATCCTCACCAGAGGATATTTTGCCACTGATTTTTAGGGAGAGTGGAAGGGAGAGGGAGAGCCAGAGGGCAATATGGATGGATGGGAAAGAGACACAGCCATTGGTTGCCTCCTGAATCGAACCCTGGACCCGTCAGTCCGCAGACATGCTCTAGCCACTGAGCACCACCGGCCAGGGCAGGAAGCATCCTTTGCGGTCTTCATCCGGCACTTCAGCGTGTGTATCCTCCCCCACCCCCACCCCCCAGCAGCCGGCCAGAGGCCCTGAGGGCGCCCGCACCTATTCTATAGCCCTTGGCCTCGGCTCCAGGGCCGGCTGCTCTGGGTTGGGGATTGCCCTGTGGGCCCTTCCTGCCCTTGGCCTCAGACATTCCTCGGGAGCATCAGAGGCTCTCCGGGCCAGACCGAGGGGCCGTCCCCCCTGTGACTGCAGACGGTGGGACCCGCGGCCTTGGGATAAACAGTGGGGGGGGGGGGGGCGCAGGAAGGCGATCGCCTGGCCCGCCCCGAGGCGGAGCTGCAGGCAAAACCCTGTCATCCGGAGAGCTAGCAGCCCCACCCAACCCCCCCCCTCCCGCCGCACCTCCATCCCCCCCCCCCCCCCATCACACACACACACACACACACACACCCCGCCGCTCAGGGCCCGGGGCCGCACCCCGCTCGCTGGCTCCGCACAAAGCGTTTGGCCGCCGATCAGAAGGGGCCGCGGCAGGGAGGGGGAGGGGAGCCTGAGACAAAGGGGGCCCAGGACGCACCGCTCTGCCTGGGCAGGTGGCCTTCTAGAAAGCTCCCCCCCCCCCCCCGCGGGGCGGTGGGAACCCCGCCTCTCTCTGATCGCTGCTGCGTTGGGGGGAGGGGGGGCAGTGAGCCGGGACCGCCGGGGCCTCTGATGGAATGGGTTCCGCAGTTCAGCGTCTCCTACGGGCCCCTGAGGGGACTCGGCCATTAAAGCAGGCTCCTTCTTTTCTTTTCTTTTGTTCTTTAATATATTTTATTGATCTCAGAGAGGAAGGGAGAGGGAGAGAGAATCATGATCAGCTGCCTCCTGCACGCCCCACACTGGGGATGGAGCCCGCACCCCTGACGGGGAATCAAACCCTGACCTCCTGGTTCAAAGGTCCACGCTCAACCGCTGAGCCGCACAGGCCGGGCTAAACCAGGTCCCTCTATTTCTCTGCTCCCAACCCCTCCGCAGGCACCCGCATTGCACACAGCAGGCAGAGACCAGGCCCTTCTGGGGGGCGGGGGCAGGGCAGGGGGCAGGGGCAGGGCAGGTGTGCCCACACCCAGGGGCCCAGTTCCGCTGAGAAGGAGGCGTTCCCTCCCCGTCTTTGTTTACCCACAGGAGCCTGAGGCCCAGGGCAGCAGGAATGCCCGTTTGCTTAGTGGGGTGCCCCCAGCAGCAGATCCCGAGCTGGGGATCCGGGCGCGCGGGCACCGGGCACACCCCTCAGTTATCTCAGCTGCGGGGAGCAGGCGGGCATTCACCCGCCAACTTCCGCCCTGGGTGCAGGCTCTCAGAGAGACAAACATGATCTCACTTACAGATAGAATATATTTTTTAATGTTTTTTAGTTGATTTCAGAGAGAGGAAGGGAGAGAGAGAAAAATTCATGAGGAGAGAGAATCACGGATCGGCTGCCTCCTGGACATCTACCACTGGGGATGGAGCCCGCAACCCCGGGAATCGAACCCTGACCTGCTGGCTCCCTGGTCAGTGCTTAATCTCTGTTGGCTTGGCTTAGCGCTTTCAGACATGTTCATATGGGCTGTGGGCCCGCACACACGCAGGGCGGCCCATGTCCCGCACACAGGCCAGCGCACAGTGTTTGCTACCGTGCCCTGGGGGTAGCTGGCGGGGGCCACAAAGCCCTGGGGTGAGCGACACCTCTGGCCCTGGCCCCCCTTGTTCTCTGCCATTGGGAGGGGGGAGGAAGGGGCTCAGGACAGGCCCCCTCCCTCCCTGGGCCTTATCCTCCTTAAAGTAGACTCATAATCGCGTCCAACCCGTCCTTCTCCACGTGGGGAAACTGAGGCCCACAAAGGCAGGTGAGAGGGGGAGGTGGAGCTGGGACCAGTCCTCCTGCCTCCAAGCCCTGGGCTTTCTGGGGCGCTAGCGAGGCAGGGACCCGAGGGAACCCCACCACGAGGCCACTCCGCTGCCGGCAGGAGAAGGGGGAGGGGGATCCCCAGTGGCCGAAGCGCCTCCCCCCTTTGTTCTCGGTTAAGCCACCCACTCCCCCTGGCCCTTCCCTTCCAGCCTCCGGGAGCGGGCGGTTAGATCGGCCCGGGTTCGAGACCTCGTTCCTGGAACCGGGGAGGGGACGGGCCGGGACCACCCAGCTTTCTCTCCGTGTCCGGCCGAGTGACGTCGCCCCAACTGCAGGCCAGGACCCCGGGTGCGGGCTCGCGCCCCCCTCGCTCCCCCGCTAATGGAGGGGCCGTGGGCAGCCAGTGACAGTGTGCACGGCCCCGCCGCTCCCCCGCCCTCCCTGGCGGCAGCTCCCCGTGACTCAGTGGTTTTCGCCGCTTCAGGCCGCGTCCTGGCGAAACCTCTGCGGCAGCTACTGCGGCAGCCTCGGCCCCGCCCCGCCCGGAGCCGCCCTCGCCGCGCGGCCGCCAGGGGGCGCCCAGGCCCCGAGCCGGTTCCCAGCTCCCGGCCCCGCCCCCTGAAGGCCCCGCCCCCTGAAGGCCCCGCCCTTCGCGCTCCGGGGGCGGGGCCGGGACGGGAAAGTCCCAGGCGCGTCATCGCGGGAAACGTTAGTCACGCACCTGCAGCCGCACCGCATCCGGCTGGGAGGGGCGTCACGCCCTGGGGAGGGTCTCCCGGCACCTGTCCTCCGGGCGGCCAGTTAGTCCTAATGGTGGCTGCCAGCCTCACTGGCCATCTGTAGGGAAGAGCGGACCCAGGTCCCTTCCTGCCTTTTCACTCCACAACACCTCCTGGGGAGCTCGCTCCGCCTCTCCCAGGAGAAGGAACCAGAGCTCCTTGAGGCAGAGGCCGCAGCAGGCAGCGTTCAAGGTCTGGGCGCATGGCACCAGCTCAGGGGCAAGCCATCAGAGGGCGAGCGTCATCAGAGAGGCTGCGGTGGCAGGCAGGTTGAGTGCTCCCATTGGCCAAAGGCGGCACAAGTCTCAATAAGAATCCTGACTGTAATCAATTGAAACACATCAAGTAAAATACATGTCTGTGTTCCATCCATCCTGTACATTGAGTGGCCAGATTATGATGGCCTCTGAACTCATAATAACCTGGTCACTAGTGTGTGTGTGTGTGTGTGTGTGTGTGTGTGTGTGTGTGTGTTAGAGGCCCGGTGCATGAATTCGTGCATGGGTAAGGTCCAGCCAGAACTGGCCAGGGGGAAGGGACATGGCAGTGGGCCGGCCTGCCTGCTGGTAGAACTCCTGGTCGAGGGGACCATTTGCATATTAGCCTTTTATTCTATAGGACAGACACGGAGTAGCCAGATTATTATGTGTTCAGAGATCATCATCATCTGGCCACTCCGTGTATAATAAAGAGCTAATATGCTAATTAGACCAAACAGCAGAACAACCGTCTGGACAACCTTCCTGATGAAGCTGGGGCTACAAGGGGTGTGCCCCTCGTGCATTGGGCTTCCAGTGAGTCTGTGATGATGCTTTAAAAGCCCGCATCTGTAGACTCTGCAGGTACCCCGGACTGCCTTCCGGAAGGGGATAACTGAAGGGAACGAATCAAGCCTTTTCCTTCCTTTCCTGCAGGGACTGCATCGCAGGGTCACCAAATGCACGCGCTGATGAGAGGAAGGTTTTCTTTCTTGAAGAATCACAGCTAGTAAATGCACACGTGATGAGATGAGGAAATCACTATGTTGCAATGAAATCATGGATCCTCTGATCCCTCAAAATGGTGCAACCAGACATGAAAGAGCCTCCTGTGGTGACATAATAGAAAGTACGCAGCATTGCCACTGACCTATTCTGGGCAAAAAAAGGGGTGGGAGGGGATGAAGGTGATCAAGCCTCTAGATCTAGCTACTATTTAAAGAAAGATGAAGGGTGGACAGAGATGTTTAAAAACAAACAAAACAAAAACAAACACCAGAGATACAATCAGTTAACTAGGTAGGCTGTGGAAAGTTCCACAGGGCAAATGATCTGGTTTTTCCTACTCAGGAAAGGAATGCGGGAGGAGGAGGGAGGGCCATCTGTTAAGTAAAAGACTTAAGAAACATCAATCAACCCAGCCTTTGGAAAATTTTGGAACAATCGTAGACAGAACTTACAGAGAGATTATTAGATAACATACAGAATTGGCTTTCTGTTGGGTGTGATAATGGTGTTATGGTTCTATTTTTAAGGTCCTTATCCAGCAGGAAAAAAATACAGAAAATTTTATGGTAAAATGATCAGTCTGCGGTTTGCTTACAGCGCTCCCACAGAGCAAATGGCGCGGGGCCGAACGGAAACAAAAATAGCTGAAGGCCGATAGCTGAGGGACCTGGGTGACGATGACATGGGGTCTCCACTTCTGTGTGTGTGAAAAGTATTTGTCAATGACGGCTTTTTAAAAGTATGCCCCTCGCTGAAATCGGTGTGGCCAGCGTCGGCCTGCGGACTGGAGGGTCCCGGGTTTGATTCCTGTCAAGGGCATGTACCTTGGTTGCGGGCACATCCCCAGTAGGGGGTGTGCAAGAGGCAGCTGATCGATGATTCTCTCTCATCGATGTTTCTAACTCTTTATCCCTCTCTCTCCCTCTCTGTGAA